CGCCCCTCACAGACACGACACACGCAGACAGAAAAAGAGCCCCCACACACACTCAGAGACACGCGATAGGATGACTGGCGGCAGACCAGCAAATCTCTCTCCTCCATCATCCCTCCCTCCCTCCGTCCCTCTCTCCCTCCCCCTTCTCTCTCTGCACACCGATTGATACATAGGGCTGGGCTGGCTGGTCACACGCGACACATGTTTGATGCAGAAACGCCTGGCGCTCTAAATCAGCCAGCGCGATCGAAAACTCCCCCGTTGGATTGCATTGCAGCCCGAAGGACAAACCTTCGTGTGTGTATGTGTATGCCCCACATCACACCACCCATACATCACATCTCCCATCTGCCACTGTACACGTCAGTCCACGCCCAGCGCATGCCCTGCATCCTCCGTCAGTCAATCCTCATAGTGATCCGGAGCAGCGGACGCCAGCTCTGAACGAACCAACGAAAGGAAGGATGATAGACTGATAGACACAGAGCATTTCCCCGTTGTATGCCGCCCGGCGTACGTACCTTCTTCGGTCGCCACGGACAGCATGCTGACCGTGGCCTGCCAGTTCTGCCTCCCGCTCGCATCAGCACCATCGCCCGCTTCATCCATTGGGCCGGAGGGCGACCGGGCGATCGGGCTAGATGTCAGGGACAGCACACGAGGGGGCGTGGAGTCGCCCCCCGATCCTCCGCTGATCGTCGGCTGCTCGGGGAAGGGCGGGAGGGGCTGCGATGGGCGCTGCTGCGCGTCGATGAGTGACTGGCGGTGGGACTCGCCACGCCTGGCGGGATAACGTGCAGTGGGCACGGGGAGCCTGACAAAAAAGAAGAAAGAGAGAGGGGGGGGTTGTTCGGCTGGTTGACCCTCCCTCCCTCCCTCCGTCCCCCTGGCCTTGGCTCACTCACTCACTTTGGCATCATGCATGTGGGTTCAGTGGCGTGTTTCTTGGCCCCCCTGGCCCGTCTGGGCGGCATCCGATTGATGTGCAGCACCGACTCGCTCCACGCACTCTGAGCACTGTGGGCGCTCTTCTCACTCCTGGCCCGCTCAAGCCCCCACGGCGACAGCACGGGGGGCGGCGGCACGCCGTCCTCCCTCACATCACTCCTACCGTTGCTGGTCGCCAGGTCGCTGCCCACCGACGTGAACCCTCCGGGCGTGTTGGTGGACGGCAGCTGGGACATGGGCGACAGAGAGCTGCCCGTCCCAACCTTCCGCCCATCGACAGGTGAGATTTGGGGCGCCAAGATCACGGGCACGGACACCGCAGCAGGAGGGGGCGGTGCAGGGGCCTTCGGAAAGAGCGTGTGGACGTCACCCTCTCGCGCCGACGGGTAGACAGTCAGAAAAGGGACGGCTGGGGGCGTAGTAGGGGGGATGTTTGGCGTAGTAGAGTGAACCTCATAAGGGGGGTATGGTGGGGGCGGGGGCGGGGGAGGGGGAGGGGGTGGCGGCTGGCTAATCGTCTCCTGTGGAGTCGGCGACAGCCGCAGCGACTGGAACGATGAGGCAATGCTGGAGAAGGAGTCCTGCCTGGCGCCCATGTCATAGTGTGGCGGTGAGGGGGCCTGGGTGTAGGGGGGCGGCGGGATGGGGTGGCCGGCCGCCACGGCGCTGTCGATGGAGGGCGATGACGAGTTGGAGAGTGTGATGCCGAGCTCGTTCCTTCGGCGGGCCTCCTCGATTTCTGACTCCATCTTGTGCTTGGCACGTGACGCGGCGACCAGGTCGGTGATGTTGAGACCCTGCTTCATGGCCATCTTCTCCAACTCGGTCAAACGATACCTGAATCAATGAATCAATCAGTGAGCGGGCAGGACAGCCATGCCATGCCATGGATAGGAGCTGTCATTATTCCCTGTGGTGTCCCTCCCTGTGCCTTCACTCACTTTCGCGGCCTCAGTTCGTGTAGGCCGTGGGCGTGTCGGCAGACGTCGCCATTCGGACAGTGACCGCGCAAGAAGAAACGACACATGCCCGTCTGATCAAAACAGTCACACCAGTGAGTGTAGTCGGAGTTGTCACGTGTATTTCTGTGTGCGTGTGTGTGCTTGCCTTATAGTAGTCGTCAGATGCCCGTAGCTCCTTCTCCCCGTGTGCATACTTGCACTCCTCAGCAGGCAGGGGGCACCGACCCTGATCAAACAAGCATGACACACACAGCCAAGACGGCCCCAGGACACCACCCCACCACCATCAATGCACGTGGATGGATGGATGGATGGATGTCGTCACGCTGCTGGCTCGCTCACCTCCTGCCACTCCTTGCACAGCCTGGTCTTGATCAACGACTGAGGAGTCCTCAGCTCCTCCCTGCACAACCCAGTGCCCAGGACACCGACACAGACAGACAGACAGACAAGACGGTCGACGGTCGGCGACTGAGTGCATTGAGTCTTTGTTGGGTACCTGGTGTGGGCATAGTGGCATTCGGCGCCTCTCACACAGCGCCCTTGCAGGTGGAACGGGCACATCTGAGCGGGCAGCGCACGACAGTCAATCAGACAAAGACAGACAGTCATAAGCATAAGAAGCGGGCATCACCTCGTGTGCTCTCTTCTCTGCCTGCGTGCTGTGCGAGGTGTGGAGGCAGCCGTCCCACCTTGGTGCGCCAGAACTGATCAACGGGTGACTGAACCACCATCATTTGCTTCTGCTTCTTCTCATTCACAACACACTGCTCACTCAGATGCACAACTCCTCGCGCACCTCCATCGCAACTGCTGGAAGCTTATGGGAGCTCGCCTCCGAAACCCGTCACCTCCCGTGCCAATTGTCCATGCCCCTAGCCCGCGCCGGTGTCTCACCCTGCCAAGCCCCTAACCCTTGGGTCCTCATCAAACCCTGCCAGTAGGTCCATCATGTCCATCGTTCTTTCATCCGGCGTCTCTTTGCTGCCACTTTCAGCCACCAAGGGCACTGGCGCCATACTGAAAGCATCCGATGATACTTCGCTGACCTCGCTGTGTTCGGTGTTGAGGGACAATCGCAGTGAGCTGCTTGCACTGTGGCGGACGTGTGGCGCCATCTTGGTGCGGGGCTATCAAGTCAAAACTGCCGAGGACTTCGAAAAGGCCGCATCGACTCTCTGTCATCTCCTGGACCGATACCCTGGTGAGGAGGAAGACATGGCTGAAGCAACGATGGATTCATTCATGCTGTGTATGCCTTCTTCTTCCATCAGGCAATGCGCCTCGCAATAAAGTGACTCAGTACGTCTGGACCAGCACCGAACTGCCGCACTATCTCCCCATTCCAGCACATGCAGAGCTCTCGTACGTTCCCAAGTGAGTGGGCGGACAGGGGCAGGGACATTTGCTCGGCCCTAGCGTGCACACATATCGGTTGTGTTGGTGCCAGGGCCCGTCCCGCTGCTATCCTCTTTTTCTGTGAGCAGCCGAGCACATCGTTCGGCCAGACGCCCATCGTCCGGCTCACTGACGTGTGGAAGAGCCTGCCCTTGTGGCTTCAGGACAAGTGAGCAGGACACACACCTGCACACGGAGGTGCACCGGCTGCATGGAAGCTTGTGTGCCCGTCTGGTGTGCTGTGGTGTGGTGTGGTGTGGTGTGTCAGGTTGGAGCGCAAGGGCGGCTTCATAAGCGTACGGAGGGCCGACGCCAAGGGCGTCAGGTCAGCACCCACACACACGCGCGTGCCACACCATGCGAGCGCACGGATGTATGTATTTTCTTCTGTTGTCAGAGTATTTGACTTCAGGAGCCGGGGCAAGCCAACCAAGACGTGGCGGGCCATCTTCGAGACCGATGACCCAGCTGAGGTGGAGAAGCAGTGCCACCAGGACGGCGTGGCCGTCGAGTGGAAGAACGGCCAGAAGGGCGGCGATGCACTGCTCAAGACGCCCTTCTCCGCTACTCGCATGGTCGACGGCACGAAGGCATTCAGCGGGTGGTTCGCGAACTTCATCCCAGCCGGCGCCGTGATCGACTCCCTGTTCGTGGCCATGCACACGCGCCGGGCCAGGGACGTGCTCACGAGTGTGCTGCTGGCCGTCAAGTGCGTCATCCAGATGGTGGTCCATGCCATGTGGCCGTCGCAGCGGCTGTCACACAGCACGTATGCCGACGGGAGTGAGATCCCGTTGTGGGACATTTTCTGTATTGTGCGGGCGCACTGGAAGCACTATGTGGTGCTCAGCTGGGAGAAAGGCGACGTGCTGTTTGTGGACAATGACGTGTGTGGGCACGCGAGGCTGCCGTTCGACCCGCCCAGACGCATTCTCACTGCAATCGCATGATAGACAGAGAGAGAGAGAGAGAGAGACCCGCACACACTGTGGGAGGGGATGGACCCATTGCATGTGCGTGTGTGGCGTGTGGCTGGTTTTTTCCATGTGGATGGATGCCATGTGGCGCTTTTGGGTGCGTGTGATCCTCACATGCATACAATACATTTATTTTTCCGACGGGCATGCAGTAAGTTGATCTTGTGAGCAAGCCTGCGAAGCGCGTTTGCTTCTTTTTTCTGCCCGTGTGTATCTGCCGACCTACGGCTGCGCCCATCGGTGTTTTGTCGCTGTCAATGTGCATATATAATACATATGGCTCTGCCATGCATGTTGATAAGTAGCTGTCCTCATGTGTGTGTTCATAACTGCGAGACCGACAAGGCATTGAGGGAAAAACGTGTCATTTCCAAGTACATACGACGACGAGTCACGGTGCACCCACCATCCACACGCCAGTCGCCATAGACAGACATTCACCAGGCAGACATCCAGCCAACCGTTGCAGACGCAGGCAGGGAGTGCTCAGCGCATCCTTCCTGTGAATGTGTGGAGAGAGTGCTGAGGGGCTTCACTCGAGTCCCATGGCCATGCTCAGCTCCTGACAGAAGGCCCAGTGGACGTACTCCGCCCGCAGGTGGCCCTGCCGCAGCCGGCGCACCGCCCGGGCGCCGACGTGGGCGCGCCGCAGCGTGGGGGGGACCTCGGCCATCGGGAGGGCGGCGAACTGCTCGAAGGCCATGGTCCCCACCGGCGGCAGCATCCACACCAGCGGCGGGGGCAGGCTGGCCGCGGCGAAGGCCGGCGGGGGAAGTTGCACGTGAGGCCCAGCTGAGGGAAGGATAACACACACAGAGAGAGGAGGGGATGTGCGGCCGTCTGGCTGTGTGTCTGGGTGTGGGTGTGGGTGCGTACCAGGAGGCTGCAGGCCACGGAACTCCTTGGCGGCGCGGGACGCCTTCTCGGCCAGGGTGGCTTCCAACTTATCAAACTCTGAAGCACCAGCCAGCGGCACACACCGCACATGAGCATTGGAGGATGCGCGCATCAATCTCTCCCGCCCCGTGTGTGTCGACGGGCTGGCTGGGCGTGCTGTGCTTACCGGCGTGGAGCCGCCTGGTTTGCAGTTTGACGACGCGGCAGCGGAGGCCGATGTACTCACGCCACTCGCGGCTGCTGGCTTGGGCGTGGAGCTCGAGATGCTCCGCCTGCAGCGTCTGCACACACAGACACAGACAGAGAGGCATGCCAGCAGTGGATGCATTAATCGCCATGATAACTGGATGGCATGCAGCTGTGCAATGCGACCCACAGACATCCATCCGCACGGCACTGCACGGCACTGCGCGTCATGCATTCCTGGCTGTGTGTGTGTGGAGGGCTGGGCTGCCTCACCTCCAACGGAATGGTGTCCAACAACGCCTCCACCTCCTCGTCGCTTATCGTCGGGTTGGCCTCGACGGCGGCCATAAAACGGCGCAAATGGGGTGCACACACGCTCATTCGTCGGCAGCAGCGATGGCGATTAGATATCAAACAACCCTGCGGCTCCTTCTCCCTTCCTCCTTCGTTTGTAATGCGAGCTCGATGAAAAGCTCGCATCGATGATTCCGGCATTTGCCGCCCGCCGCGCGAGGGTTGTACTCAGCGCACAAGAAACGGCTCACTCACTCGTATGAATTCATCTATGAATGGGCACACTGAAAATACTGAAGCTGGCCGCCGCAGTAAGGACGGCAAGGGAGATGAGCCAACACGGCCCAGTGGTGCCAGCCGAGTGGATACCAGCGGCAGCCTCTCACAAAGCTGCGAAGGGCAGGGGCGCCTGATTCCCGAAGAACTCTCACATGGTGAGAGATCTTCACACCGCCTGATGGATATACACACCTCAAAGCTCTCATTCACACGTGCATGCCGTTTTTCCAGTATCAGGTATGCGTGCAAAGGAGTCTGTCGTATCGTCTTCCCCTGCCGCCCGACTCTCTCCCCGCCGCTGCGAGAACGACCTCGATGCGACAGAGACCAACACCGTGGTGCAGCGGTCACCCACCGCGGCCACCGAGGAGGGGCAGAGTGACAAGGGAGAGCAAGGTGGTGCGGGCGACGGGTGCGGTGGAGGTGCGGGTGGTGAGGGAGAGGGGCCTGACGTAGATGTTGGTCCAGTCGATGGCAGTGGGAGTGTGCAGATTGTATCGGTAGGGGAGGGAGGGAGGCGGGAAGCGAGGAGTGTGTGTATGTGTGTGGTTGAGGCACCTGTGCTGTGTTGTGTGGTGTTGCGTTGTGTTGACGGTCAGGCCATGGAGAGGCAGGAGGAAACCGCACCGCAACCCACTGCCGGACCGAAACAGACGACAGACGAGCGGTAAGACGCTGACGGGCTGATCAGCTGCCGCGGGAGCACCTATTCTGTGGGGCTTTCTTATGTCGTGTTGTGTTGCAGTGGTTTTGTGCGGTTGACGGATTTGCAGCATGGCGTTGCAGCGGCCGGCGGAGATGCGGTAGTGGACCGGCAGCCCGCAGACGGCAGTGGTTGTGAGGACGCTGAGCCGACCGGGGTTGCTGCAGTCGAGGAGGAGACCCGGCCGCCGGCCGTGTCATCGCTGTCACGACGCCGAAAACTCAATATCACCCTGACAACGGACATCGAGGACCTGCAGGAGGCCCGTCGCATCGACCAGGGTCAGAGAGCTCATTCCTCTGAGAGACCGTCCATAGGAAGGCTGGCAGTGATTGATTGAGTGGGTGTGGTGCCCTGTTTGTCGGTCAGAGGTGAATCCGTCCCGTAGCCCCGTGCAGCCATGGGATGAGACCGACCCCGTCGTCCCGAAGATCAAGAAACACCTCGCGAGGTAGGTAGCTGGGGAAGTGGGTGGATGGATGGATGGATCGATAGACACACACTCGCATGGCTGTCTGCTCACAATGTGTGCAGCAGCGTGAGGCCGGTGTTGACTGCGCATGACAGCCCAGTGAACAGGCTGGGCACCCCCGGCAACCCCTTCCCCGCCACTGTGCTCATTGGCAGCATCACAGCAGCGAGAAATCCAGAGGTCAGAGACCATAGACGCCATGAAAGACAGACGAATGATCGCACTGTCTGTCACGTGTTGTGTACGTTGGGCCTGCCTGTGTGCGTGTGCAGTTTGTGGTCAGTGCGAGTGTCAGCCTGATCCTCAACCTATGCGCTGATGCCCAGGACAGCACAACACAGAGCCTCTCAGACGATGACCTGCGAGCAGCACTGCGCGAGGCGGGCGGCACTCACATGACCATGGCCACGATGCCCAAGCGCATCAACATCTACAGATTCAGGGTACGGTACGCATGGCATAACATGCACTGGAAAACAGACATGCATGAATGTGTGCCTCTTGCGTGTGTGGTCAGGATAAGGAGCTGTTCGGGCAGGGCGACAACCAGATGTCGCCAAGTGAGGTCGGCCGCATGTTCGACACCCAGTTCAAGGGGCTGCTGGAGGCGACCAATGACCCCCGCCAGACCATCCTCATTCACTGCGCCATGGGTGCGCATGCACTCACTCGCCCACCCCACCCACTGATCCACACATGGCCATGTGTGGACACGCGCGTATGATGACTCCCTCACTCAGGCAAGTCGAGGACGGGCCTCTTCGCTACGTGTCTGCTGGCCTGGTACAAGAAGGACGAGTACATCCGGCGGCAGCACGACATGCGATCGAGGGGCGAGGACGGGGTCAAGGAGGTCTTCGATATGGCTCTCGAGGAGGTGTGTGGATGGACACCCACTCGCCCACCCACCCACCCACTGGATGGATGGATGGATGGTGTTGTCACACATGGCATGCAGGCGCAGACGTATCGGAATGTCGCCCCCAGGTTGGGTTTCTGTCGCATGGGCACCATCTTCTGCAGGATGATGCGAGCCGGTTCACCACACCACACCACACCACACTGCACACACAGAGCCGGACTGGCAGACCAGATTGTGTGGGTGTGCTTGGTGAATGCAGGTAGTGATGAGGTACCGCTGATGGAGAAGGTCGTAGAGACACTGCTGAGGGAGGAGGACGGCACAGGTGCGACTGACACAAGAGGGACCTACCTGCGCACACTTGGCCTGTCTGGTCTCGTTTCGTTCCATCAGGTTGGGGCAGCCCTACCAGCAGCAGCAGCCTGTCTGCAGGCGGGCTTGGCCACCTACCGCACCCACTCGAAACAACAGGTGCTGCATACCGACAGACAGACAGACAAGGTCTATGAGCCAGGAAAGACGCCCATGTCCTGTTGTTGTGCATTGTGGTATCCAGATGGCGATGGCGAGGAGGATGACAGTCCAGGACCGTCGCCCTCGCCCCCTGTGAGTCTCCCTGGCGCGCCCAAACGCCCCACCGGCAAGTCCATGCTCCTCACTCTCGACTTCGACGACGAACAGCACTAGCAGACAGGTGCGACAGACACACACACACACCACAACACAACACACACCAAGAGAGACGTCAACACTGTCGTATGTTCTTCCTATATCAGGTGGGTCTGCCGTGGCTGCCGGTGGGTCTACTTTCGTCGGTGGGAGCTTCCCCGGCGCGACCACAGGAGAGGAGGGCCATCAGTCATCAAGCCCCCGCTCACCTCTGCTGCTGCACGGCCATAGTAGCGGCCTCGTGACGCTCCCTCCTCCACTATTCTCGGCCAATGACGGCCCTGCGGATGGCCCCCAGCCTCCCTCGACACCGCCCCCGCCCCGCCCGACTGGCCCCAGCGGCAAGACGAAGAGCACTCTCCTTCAGGACATGGACGAGTACCCGGCGCCGGCGGACGACCTAAGCGGCGTGGGAGCTGCTCGTGGCCAAGGGGAGGGGAAGGGCGAGCGTGGTCGAACGGGCAGCGGGGCGACGCTGTCGCCGGTGCGCCACTCGCCTGTGAAGGTCCACTTTTCGCCAGGCACTCTCACAGGTAGGTGCAATGAGGAGTGGACAGCAGAGATGGATGGACTTTGGTGTGTCTATGTCAATGTGTGTGTATGCAGTTGAGAGTATTCCCCCGCCTCCCCGCCAGCTCGACGGCCAAGGTGAGGAAGGCAGGAAGGGAAGTGCACATTGACATCCGTACCACTCGTTCTGTGTGTTGTGGAGTCCTTTGTCAGTCACAGAGGAGTTGTCCGGCCCACCCGTCCCCCTCCCCATCTCGCCTGCACACCTACCGTCCAAACACCGCCAAGAAACCCCCGAGCCCACTCACCCTCATCCCGCCGCCAATGACGATAGTGCGCCGCAGCCAGCGAGCGGGCGACGAGGCGACGATGGCGAAGGGGGCGGCGTCGTGGCACCGCTGATTAGTGTGCCAGTGGATGTGGCAGCGGCTTCCCTCAACCTGTCGAGTGGAACCGCTGGGCAGGACGGCGGCACGGCTGTCGAGTGCAAGGGGTCGTCGCAGAAGGAAGAGCCATCTGCGTCGGGCACGGTGGTGGGGGACAGTGCGGGTGCGGGTGATGCGAGTTGGGACAACAGCAAGGGGGACAAGGAGGACAAGAGTAGCATGTCGCCACGGTGAGCGGGCTGGTTTTCAAAGAGCCATGCATGCCACGCTTTGTGTGAACGTCACGTGTGTGTCTCGTCAGGACGGGGTTGGGTTCCGATTCTCTAGGTGTTGCTGATGGTGCGGATTCCACGGCCTATGCTGACGTGAAGTTCGAAGTGTGTGATGTGGCGGCGCCTGAGGACACCAACCTGTCTCTGACAGTCAGCCACGCGGCCCTTGGCGGTATGAGGAGCACCGTCCCCCTGGCGTGGGACAACCAATTGGGGTGGACCCGTGTCTTCCTCATGTGCCCCAGCCCATCCCTGCTCGTCAAGTTCCGGTACTGCATGGTGAGCCATGGGACGGTGGTGCAGCGGGACAGGGCGGGGCAGCGGGAGGTGACCATCCATCCAGGGATGGTGATCACGGTGCGGTGCACCTGGGGCAGGGAGGGCATCATCGTCATTGACCGCACGGGTGGGTCGGGCAGGGAGGAGAGGTCCCTGCCTTGTCATTCTTGTCGTGTCTCGTTCGCCTTGTCTGTCAGGCGCCGGCACCAACACCAGCAGCAGTGGCAGCGAGCCTGGACGTCGCCCCCAGCCAGCCACAATGGACCACCACGACGGTACACGCCAAGACGCACAGAGCGACAGAGAGACAGACAGCGAAGCCCATTGGCCAGTGGATGTGTGTATGTCCTGCTGATGTGCATTGTGGTCTCCAGATGGTGGTGACTGTTACGACGAGGACAACTTCCCAGCGCCATCGCCCCCGCCCCCAGTGCCGCGCCCTGCCGTCCCCAGGGGCGGCAAGGGCAAGTCCATGCTCCTCGGTCCCGAAACTGACGACGATGAGGACCAGGAGGCAGGTGCGACAGACACACACGCACACCACAACACACACCAAGAGAGACGTCAACACTGTCTTTCTTTTCTTTCTACATCAGGTCCTGCTGTGGCTGCGGATGGCCCCCAGCCTCCCACCACCCCGCCCCCGGCCCGCCCGACTGGGCCCAGCGGCAAGAAGAGGCCCGACCTCCTTCAGAAGATGAAGGCGTATGTCAGTGACGACTCGGTGGCGGCCGACCGAAGCGATGGGCGAGCGGCTGGTGGCCAGGGGGATGGCGAGGGGGAGGGTCGGCTCGGCGCAACGGGCAGCGGGGCGACTCTCTCCCCGGTGCGCCACTTGCCTGTACAGTTGCGGTTCTCGCCGGCCCGTCAGGGTGGTGCGTCTCTCTCAGGTGGGTGAGGTGGTGAATGGATGACATCAGGGGTGCAGATGGAACGGACAAGGCGCATCTTCGTGCATGCAGGATTGCCCATCCCGCCTCTGCCCGGCTTCATCCAGCACGGCACCACACACATCGAGCCTGGTGAGAGAGACAGCCGGGCGGCCTGCCACAGACAGCTACATGTGTGCATGGATGTGTATGCGTGTCTCACAGGGGCGGACAAGTCCGTGGAGGACCATCCCGGGCTGCAGCGCGCGAGTCGGCCGACTCCCTCCACGGACTCTCGCTGGGGACCGCCATCTCGCTTGGCCCCCATTCCCTTCAAATTATTGGCACTGTCGCCCGCTCGTCGCAGCCCCCGGCACACACCAAAGGGCTCCACGACGCGAGAGGCCTTCACTCGCGGACCGACGGCACTTGGGATGTTGCAGGGGGACAGCAGCGCATCCCAGGAGGCCTACCTGCCTTCTCCCGCCCCCTCGAGTCCTTGCGGTGACGGCGCGGGGAAGCAGTGGAGGAACCGTGGTCAAGAGGACCGGCAGGATGGCATCGACTCACCACCCATGGGTAGGTGGTGGGAGGGAAGCAAGGGAACGGTGTGTGTGTCGTCAATCCACCTTGTGTCTCTCTCTCTCTGTGTGTGTGTGATGTGTGTTGCGTCGATCAGGTTTGGGGAGCACTGCTGCAGGGCATCTCAGCAGTTCGCCGAGTGCTGCGGCAGCATCCACTGGCCACCCGCAAGCGTCGCACACCCGGTCGGCAATCGCCGCAGCCACCAGCAATGGCCAGGAGGACCTTGTGGCGCTGCTCCAGGTGGAACTCCTAAAGCTGACAGAGGAAACAGCAGAGAAGGTGGGAGGGATGGGAGGGGGGGAAGAAACACACCGCCGGCTGTATACTCACGTGCACCGATTGGTCACACGCCTCTGTTTGTTGCCTCTTTGATGCGACCAGGATGCACTCATCGCGGCGCTGCAGGCCCAGTTGGGCGAGATCACGGACAAGGCCGAACGGGTCAATCTTGCCTACACTCTGCAGGTGCCAAGCAAGGAAGGATGGATGGATGGATGTGCTGCTGCCTACTACGTGGGTTGATAAATGGACGTTGATGGTGTGTCAGGTTCGGCGCAGCACGGCCTTGAGCCAGCGCGTGGAGCAGGGGAGGGAGTATGAGCGCATGGTCCATAGGCTCACGCAGCAGCTGCAGGAGAAGGACGATGACGTACCCACCCCACACGTCACGCACCGCACCGACACACACCCCGTCACATGCATCCTCCCTATGCTATGCACCTCCATGCACTCAGATTGAGCGCCTGAAGACTCGTCTCGAGGAGACCGACCAGCATCTGACGCGTCAGGCACAGCGGGTGAGCGAGAGGACGTCCGTCCGTCAGTCAGTCAGCAGCCGGATGCATTCACCGACGCACGTGTGTGTGTGTGTGTGTGTGTATGGTTGGTCGGTCGGTGCAGGTGTGTGAGGAGGAGCGGCAGGAATCGACGCAGCTGCGAAAGCAGGTGGAAGTCATGGAAGCAAAGGTGCGCGAAAGCTGGCAGACAGACAGGGTCATTCAGGCACTGATTGATGTGTCGATGGCCCATGCACTCAGATGGCCCAGCTGGAGCACGACCTGAGAGAGAAGGTGAGTGACCTGTGGCGTGATGTGTGTGACACCAAGCCACATCCATCCATCCATCCATCTGTTCTGTCTCTGTGTGTGTTTGTCAGGTGGCAAAAGAGGCCGAGCTGTTGAAGAAAATGGAGCGTCTGAACAAGGACTAGCGTCAAACGGTGGGTGGGATGGATGGATGGATGGGCGGAGGTGTAGACGAAATGGTGAATGCATGGCACCAATCTACTTTCGCCTTGCATGCCTCTATCTGTGTGCAGCTTGAGCAGAACGAGCGAGAGGTCAGATCAGACACACGGAAGGAGCCCCGGCACAGCACCACTCGTCCATCCATCCATCCCTCCCTGCCCTCCTCGTTTGTTCAGGCTGTATATTATCAGCAAGCGGTGCAGAATGATGTCAGTCAGTCACACACTGGGGGTGCAGGGCACACATGCATGTCGACTGGCCAAGCCAGGATGGATGGATGGATGGATGCTGTGTGGTCTGCCCTGTCCATCTATCTCATCGACTTCAGGCCCATATGGAGGTCCAAGCTGCAAAGAAGCGCCTGCAGGAGAAGGAACGGGAGGTAATATCCATCCACACACCCTCTCTCTCTCGCCCTTTGTTGCATCTGTTCACGTGTGTGTGTGTGTGTGTGTTTGTGTGTGCGTGTGATTGTCCATCTAGGTCGAGGAACTGAAGGAGGCCCTCCGCACCACCTCTTCCGGCGAGGTGGGTTGGGTGCGGCACACACACACGCACCATCAGGGAAGGAGATTGGCGTTGGCTGAATGTGTTGGTTCCTTCGCTCAGGAGCTTCTGCGTCTCCGACATCAGCTGCGGTTTATGGATCGGCTCATGTGAGAAGAGAGTGGGAAGGAAAGACACAGATGCAAAGACTCCTGTCCACCGCCTTGTGCTGCCTGCGTTATCCATTTTACTACAGGGCCGAGCAGAAGGCCAACCGTGAGGAGCTCGAAGAGTAGGCCAACACCAGCCAGTGCACCCATCCATCCACCCACTTGGTGCTATCTATATACTGTTCTTCGTCGTGTGGTGGGTGCAGCCTCCGCGAGTCACGGGAGGCCAATAGGGAGACCATCTCTGAATACATGGCCGCCAATGAGAGCATGCATCGCGACCTCACACAGGCAGTGGGCGACCGCCACCGCCTCGCCAGGTACACCAAACTCAACACACACAGGGGGCAGGCACACGAGGGAGGCAATCAGCAGGCAGGCCCTCACTGACTCTGTGCGTGTGTGTGTTGAGCCGGCTGCACGAGCAGGTAACGTACGCACGCGATTTCCACACATGGCATGGCTTATCTCTGCCTGCCTGCCTGCCTCTTGTGTGGTGTGCGTCAGGAGGCCAAGATTCGCGAGAGGGACGCAGAGGTGGGGTCACACACACACATACCCACATAGTCCATCCATCTATCAATCCATCTCTGTCTCTTCTGCATCTTCAGGTGAACACACTGAGGGCCGAGCTGCGGCAGCTCCGCGGCGCTGGCGGGACCGACGACTCTGCTGCTCTGAGAGAGGAGCTGCACCGACTACAGGCCGAGTTGCAGGGCACCCAGCAACGGCTGCAGCAGAGCGAGGCACAGGTGGGCAAGACAGCACTCACACCGTGGGTCAGTCTGCCTGGGCGCCCTTTCACGTCCGCGCCTCTCTCTCTCTGTTCAGGTTGAGACCCTGCGATCTGACACCCAAGAGCTCCGTGGAGCGGCCGCCGACGCGTCGGCTGTTCAAGCCCAGCTGCAGCGACTGCACACCGAGCTGCAGGCCGCCAGGCAGCAGCTGAATGCGAGTGGCACAGAGGTGAGTGAGCCACACAGCACAGCACAGCAACTTACACACACGAATGGTCCCCTGCCTGCACTGCCTGTCTCTGTTTCCATCTGTTTGTTCATGTGTGGTCTGTCTGTGCAGGTCACGAGACTGTCGAATGAGAATGGCCGCCTCCGAGAGGAGCTCAACCAGCACCACAGCCAGCCTGATGCGGCCGGGAGCCGAGTGCGTCAGCTGCAGAGCGAGCTGCAGGCCACGCGACAGCAGCTGCAGCAGAGCGGTGATGAGGTGGGCCGTAGCCATCTCACACACATGGATCATGCGTCTGCATCCGTGTGAGTGTGCCTCTGTTTCCTTTCCGTCTGTGTATTTGTGTGTCGTCTGTGTAGGTCACTCGAGTGTCCAACGAGAACGCCCTTCTTCGGGAGCAGCAGAACCAGCAGCAGCAGGAGCACCATAGCGTCGTCAGCAACCCATCGATCCAGACTGGTGAGAAAGGGATATCGATGTCTACGTGTGCATGGATGTGTCTGTCTGTCTGTTGTCGTTTTCTTTGTACGCAGAGGCCGATGTGTCGAGAGCCGCCGGCTTTTCTCGTCCCACTGGCACCACGACCGGCAGAGGCGCCGCAATTCGCTCTTCATCGCAAGACCCTTCCCTGACCCAGACAAACTCACTTCTCACTGCTGGTGAGAAAGGGATGGGTGTAGGCAGGGAGGGAATGGATCACTCACAGCAGGACAGAAAATGGAATTCAAGACAAGACACCTTCTCTCTCTGTTGTGTTTGTGTGCGCATCCCGTCCATCACAGTGACTTCGGGGTCGGCTCAGGTACGCACGCATACAGACACACATGACACGCAGCTAAACACACAGAGGTGGTGTACATGCATCGCAGAATGGCGTTGGGTCGGCACCTCAGAATAGGCAGCATCCGGGCAGCAATTCATCGACGGGTGAGCTTGAAAGTGAGCACTGCACTTGCTGCCATCATGGGCACATACACATCGCTCCCTTTGGCAGAAGGGCTGCCTGGGTCTGCTCTCTCTGGCAACATCTTCGGCGACATCTTGGACGATCTCGAATACATGCCTACACGACTCCGTCAGCTGACAGGTGAGGGAGGTGTGGAAGGGAAGGACGGACGACTGACTGGATGTATGTGTATACCTGTCTGTCTGTCTGTCTGTCTTTCTGTGTGGTCATGTTTGTTTGCCTGCACACCCTTGTATGCAGCCTCCCTCCGCGCTCATCGGGCGGCTTTGCTGCCACCAGTGGGGCATCTGCACCACGAACTCCCAGACGTCGTACGATCCATCATGCAGCTGTGGAGATCATACCAGGTATGCTGCATCCGTGTGTCGCAGTGTGTGTATGGGCGAATCCATCCGCCATGTCTCTTCTTTCAGGGGCTGAGCGCCACTCTCTTCGCCCCCCTGCCGTCAGTCGCGTCTCCCCTCCCGGCCGTCCACCCATTGCCGCAGCCCCACCACCAGCAGTATGTCCACGAGGCCGCCGGCCTGGTGGCCGCATACCAGCAGGTGGCAGAGAGGGGGTGGGGTGGGGGCGAGCAGGAGAGATTCATCACCATGGTTCGACACATATTCTCCGACCAGCAGTTGAGCTTTTTCGTCGCATCAATGATGACTCAGAGGTGAAGTACTCAGAGTATGGAGGGCAAGGGTTGGGTAGAGTTATTTCGGACATGCCTAGTAGCTAGGACCGGCGAGGGTGGATTAGGTGGGCGGGTGGGAGGGAGAGAGGGAGGGAAAGAAACTAGTTAGCGTACAGACTGATGAACGGAGACAATTAATTGAATGAATGGACCTGACGGCATGACCATCGATCCACCGTTCGTCATGAATTGATTGTCATGGTTCACACGTCACTCTGATCGAGTGAGTCGGCTCACAGCCACTCGGCATGCATCTGAGAGCTCTGGCCGGCTATGACATCACAACAAATACGTCCGATCCAACACGCACGTCGGCTGTGAGAGAACCAACTAGTTAACACGCCCACATCTTCACTACCTCAGAAGCTCTATAATTACATCCAAGCTACACATACATACATACAAACCGAACACACAGACACGATCTTACTGTCTGCTGTCTGTGTCTGATGGTCACTTACTGTCTGCTGTCTGTGTCTGATGGTCACGATGATATCAACACACCCACTGAGCTGCGGGCCGTTCGCGTATTCAGATAGCGCCGAAGCGCCCCTCTCGCCTCTCCCGATTCTGCTGCCGCGGGGACGTCAGCTTCCCTCTGTCTCTCTCGTGTGTGTGTGTGTGTCTGGACACCTCATCAGGGCCGACGATATTTGCTACTGAGGATGATCGCGGCGCTGTCCATCATGCAGTTCCAGCCGAGTGAAGGAAGATGCCTGCGAACGGCGTGGCAGAGAGCCCCACACCATGGCCCCGCAACGATCTCCTCGCCCGCCGCCGTCAGTCACATCACCGCCTCCCACCACTGCAATCACAGCACACGGGCAGGAGGGCCATTGATGTGATGGTGCGTTGTGATTTCCGTCTGTCTGTCTGTCTGTCTGTCTGTCTGTGTTGGCTCGCTCACCTCGCCCCGCCTCCGTCATGGCGGTGCAGCCGCCTCCCAGCCAATCGACCAACACACACGCACTGCCACAACACCTGCGCGACGAGCCTCTTGCACACCTGCTGACGGTCTCATTCATCGTGCGGACGTCTATCTATCGCTGGCCGGCCATCGACAGACCAGGACCAGCGACGGTGCCCCCCATCAAGCCGATAACAAGGAAGACCTGAACGAGGCCAACAAACCACCGGAACACACTCCTGGCGCCGTCACTGACAGAGATCCAGTTTGGCTGGTCACCTGCGTCAATCAGTCGGGCCGCCTCACAATGGGCTCCTCAGCGACAGAGAGAAAGAGAGAGGGCCACGCCTGTCAGAGGGCAACACACACACACAGAGGAGCCATGAGGATGAGTAGAAATGGCCTGCAAAGCATCCGACTGCCCCGCCCTGTCGTCTTGTCAGCCACGCGGCCCGCCATGTGGCAGATCAGATCTGTCCACAGGCGTCTTCACTAGCAGGTCAGATCAGCCTGGTCGGTGAGCGCTTCTCTTTGCTCATTTCGCCTCGGCCATCATGTCAGGGGTCCAAGGAGGGGAAGAGAGAGCCACATGACGCATTTGGCCTTGGGAAGGACAGCGAGCTTGTGGAATTCCGTGAAACCGGTCTCTCAGTGGCTCTGAAAGGCAGTATGGTATTACCGCCCCTGATGCTTGTAACTACAAGCGATGGAGCAAGGCGCACCCTATAGTTTTCACTACCTCTCTGCTGCAGTCAGATAAGCTACCGCTCCTTTCAGCAGTTGCAGACTTCCTCCTAGCTGCACACAAGGAGCGGGCTCGCTGGCTTGCACTCAATCCATCTCTCCCACCCAGTCAGTTTGATGGTGAGTATGACTTCATATATGAGTTGCATGAGATGGAGCAGTGGGTGCTTGACGCTGACTTGTCAGACTAGCACCCACTGCTCCATGGGAAGGGCAGATAGGCCTTGTGCATGCATTCTGCATGTGCCTGTTGCCTGTTTGGTGTGTGCTGTGGACAGAGAAGATGCCTGGTTGCGCCGGAAGGTAGCGCCGGGCTTAGGGACAGGTGTCTCGTCAAACCCTTAACCAACCAACCAACCAAGGCGCTTTATCGTCGGCGAGTGAGCAGATAAGTGTGTGACCACCGCCGCCGATCGTTGGATATCGAAATGTCCGCCCCGCACCTGACGAGGATTATGGCTGAGGCCGAGGGCATGACGGACGAGGAGTTGTATGCCGCATTCAAGGCCATCCCCATCCCGGTGAGCCACCGCACTCACTCACTCGTGTGCCCCACCTGAAAGAAAGCCGATCAGTGCACTGCAGCACTGACATAATCAGTGGGGGGAGATGAGATGCATTGGATGGAATGGATGGATGGATTTCCGATGGATACGGTGCATCGGTGCAGTGCATGGCCATGGATCACATGTCTCTCTCTCTTTCTGTCCGTCTGTGTGTGTGCAGACGTTGATAGCCGAGGAGGACGCCCTCAAGGGTGAGCAGGTGCAGGCCTACCTCGTGGTGAGGCGCCGCTGGCGTGCGTACCGCAGGCGCCGTATGGACAAGGCCCTCAAGGAGTTGGAGGAGGGTACGTCACCTCCACACACGCAGATTGGTTGATGCGATGCAGTCATGCCCAATACATCTTCTTGTGTCCTCTGTGTGTCTGCTGGTGTTGCTTCAGCGTGGCAGCAGGCCAGCTTGGCTCAGGCCGCGGAGCAGAATACGTTCCAGGGACTGGCTCACGGTATGGACACACAGACAGAGAGGCAGACAGAGGGAGGGAGGGCACAAGACGCACCGCACACCCACAGATCCGATGGGTCCATCCCAACATCCCCTCCCCTCTGTGTGTGTCTGTGTGGGTCCTTTCTGTGTTCAGCCCCGCCCACGTTCGCTGCGTATCCGCCACCTGCCCACCTGGGGTACGGGATGCCCAGCCTGGCCCCGCCCGTGGCCTGGGTGCTGCCGCCGGTGGGGACCGTCGACTTCGTCAAGTTCACCTTGGCGCCGATGGCGACGGTTCCCCCCACCCTGCGGCACGCCCACCTCAGCGCCCGGGCTGTGCAGCGGCTGCGGCTGGGCCACACCCCGCAAGTGGTGCACAAGGCGTTCGTGGACGAGATGGGCCTGGCCCTGGGACTGCCCTGAACCCTAATTGGTGAGGAGAGAGAGGGTAGCCAAACAAGAGAGAGAGAGGGTGCCGCACAGCGGGATGAGCCGGGATCACATTGCTGCCTGGCTGCATTTTTGTCTCTGGTTGTCAGGTCGGGCACCCACTTAGTCGCGGCAGTAACTGTCGGCGGATTGACGGACTTGGTTATGGATAGACGACTGCATATTGATATGTGCGTGGCGATCCATCCATCCATCAGTCGCCAGGCAGGCAGGCAGCCAGGGTGTGGTGTGCGTCGGGGGGTACATACATACGCACAGGCCAGCCACAGCTAGCTACACCGCCACTCCCATCACCCCCATCCATCACCACTCACCACCCACAGCCAATCGCGGCGCCTCTTTCTTTCCCTTTTCCTTTCATTCAGACAGACAGACGCCTCTCTGTTCTGTGGGCGTCTGTCTGTCTGTCTGTCTGGTTTTTGTTTCCTTTCATCCAGATGGCCTGTGGCTGTCCTGTCTGTTTTCGTACGTCTTTGCTTTCATACAGGTGGCCTGTCTGGCTGACTCGGGCAAGTCATTCCTTCGGGAGTGCGTGCCTTCATCGGCAAGTCATTCCTCCGGGAGTGCGTGCCTTTAGAGTTCAGCTGGACGGCTGTCCGGTCTGTTTCCGTACGTCTTTGCTTTCATCCAGGTGGCCTGTGGCTGTCTGCTTTTCGTTTCGTCCTTCCGTATGGTGCGGACGCTGCTTTCTGCTTTTCGTTTCGTCCTTTTGTATTGTATTGCTTTCTGTTGAAGAGAGGAGCCGCACAGAACCGAATCCGACGTGGTGAGTGTGATGGAGGTGGGGTGGGTGAGGCGGCACGTAGGCGGCTGGATGGGGCCTGTCGTGTGTGTGGCTGAGCACACGGATGGTGACGAGATGGATGGATGGATGGATGTGCTACACACGGATGGTGTCGAGATGGATGGATGGATGGATGTGCTAAGCACACCATCAATCATGTCAGGGTGTCCGTGTAGACTGGATATTGGCATTTTCTGGTACTTTCTGGTTGCGTGACTGACTGACTGACTTATTTGTGAATGACTGTCATGCAATCTTGCTGTGTGAGCTGACATGACCTGTTCTAGCCAGGCGTCCGTCCGTCCACCGAGAGATCGAGGAGAACAGCCGTTTGTTTCTTGTGGCTGTGTGTTCTCCTGTCTGTTGGCACCAGCCAGATGATCCCACTCTCTCACTCAGTGGGTCCCCGGTGGGTGACACACACTCACACACCACCTGCCTGTATGGTGGATACTTATCAGTAAGTAGCTGACCTGACAGACTGACTGACTGACTGACTTGTAGATAGGCGTAAGTGAGTGAGACTGGCACTGCACTCGTACCTTACGTACGGCAGCCAGGTGAATAGCGCCAGTCATTCCACCGCTTTTGTTTGTCCTGCGGGGGCGCCCCGCAGCTGAATGACATTGATTGTGCCATCGTCAGTCAGGCCATGACGGTAGCCTGCCTTTGTACTCGGTCGGCATCGCTCTCCTTTGCCCATCCCGGCCGTCGGCGGCACGGCTGCCATTTGAGGATTGGCGTGATTGACAACTTGGCTCTGTGTGTGTGTGTGTGTGTGTTCTTGGCCACCTCGTGTGTGTGTGTGTATGTGTGTGTGTTCTTGGCCACCTCCCTCGTGTGTGTGTGTGTGCGGTCCTTCATTCTTCTTAGCTGCCTCCCGCTGACAACACAGCACACTGTCCGGTCCGCACTGACTGATTTACGTACAGCATGGAGGCTGTCAGTCACTTGTTTGCCGACAGCGATGTGCTGTGCTGTGGCGCAAGTAGCTGCTGAGACCCTCTGTACCACCCGGCTCACTTCACCATCGACTCATGTGTGTGATGCACGTGACCAATGGACTTACTGACTTGTGTGTGTGTACGAATCGGATGGGATGGACGGTCTGGTCGGCCGCCATGCCATGCTAACCTACCACACACACACACAGACACACACAGACGTGTCAGTCAGTTATGTCCTCCTTTGCTCTCTGCCCTGCCTGCACTGACTAATGCATTTCATTCGTTTGGCAAGCTAAGCCCTTCCGTACGTTTGGACACTTATGTTTTTTGCCTTCCTTGAGCACTCAATACGTACAATCATGGTGCCGATCTGGGAGGAGGACAGGGAGGTCGGAGGGAGGGAGGATGTGGTGGGGTGTGGGGTGTTCGTGTGCGTGGCGATTGGCTACTTGCCCGTGTGCGGCTGCACTCGCCTCGTTTGCGGATCCCACACTGCACATGATCGCACCCACCACCAGCCACACGCACTCAGATCCATGCGCATGATCCACGTGATGCATCAGCCTCTGAGAGTGGATGGATGGATGTTTGGTGTGAGAGAGAGGTGGTGTTATTGGTTGTGTCGGTGGCTGGTCAGCGTGGTGTACAAGGGGAAATGAGCGCACTGGCGGACCCCCTCGTGGAAATGCTGCATTCATTGCCATGTATGTGTGTTGACACGATGGCAATGCCGTGTACGAGTGCATCAGCAGCATTGTTCATTGTGGCTGCGACAGGCCTTTAGCGTGACACTCCACAATCATCGGTTCACTCATCAATGCATTCGTTGTCGCGCAAACGGTCCATCGGTCCACCCAATCCATGTGTAACACACGCAGCGCACCACACCGCACCGGCAGGCAGGCAGGCATGCAGGTGTAGACACCCCAAACCACACACACGAACGACTTAGCCAGACAGCCACGCCACAGCCGGCCAGGGGATGTGTGTGTAGGAACAGAGAAAAAGACCGAGCGCAATGGCAGGCAGGCAGGCAGAGAGACAGGCAGGCGCAGGCAAAGGACGGCGATTCCATCGACAGGTGGAGCGGCCGAGCAAGCTCAAGAGACACTCATGAACACATCGATATATGCGACGGAGCTTGGTGTCTCGCACACACACACATCACACCGAGGCACACACACACACGTGTGCATTGCATGAATGGATGGATGGCTCGGAAAAACTGCCAGCAAGAGAGGGCATATTGGATGCGGCTGCCCGGCTACCGTCCGTCTACCTATCTGTCCTCCCCCACCTCACTCACACGTGCTGTGTCTGCTGTGTCTATCGATCGGTCAATTGTCGGCCTCGTCCTGCCCCTGCCCCTCCTTGCCCTCCTTGTCGGCCATGCCGCCACCGCCGCCCCCCTGCACTGGAGCGAGGCACGCCTCGACCCCCACACGCACCATGCCCTTGCCCCACACACCACCGAACCACTCGTTGGGGTTCTTCATGTGCATGTGGTGGACCATCACACGCACCAGCACCAGCAGGTACTTGTACGGGGTCTCGTCCAGCACCGAGTCGCTGACATACACACAGGGGCAGACACAGCCGTCATGCATGGCATGCCACACACACATGCACACACATCTGCCTGCCCAGGCCACACATTTCTTCCTACACTTACCGAGTCTTGGCCGTGGCCTGCAGCTTCTTGTATGTGGTTGTGTCGATGGCGTCTACGTCTATGTCCTTGATGGCCTTGTGGAATGCCGGCAGGGTGAGCATGGCCAGGGGTGTGTCTGCGTCGGCGGGTGGGACGGTCTCGGCGAGCGACGGCAGGGCGTCGGTGAGGGCACGCACGAGGTCGATGGCCCCTGCGGGAGGGGAGGGGTTGCTGCCCAGCACCTCCAGCACCTCAGGCGTCAACTGCAATGCATGCAGCTATCAGTCAATGTCTCGCTTGGTGTTCCGTCAAGTGGGTGATTCCACCGACCTTGTCTTTGCAGTAGTGAATGACCATCTCGGCGCCGACTTTGTACGTTGTCATTTCAGCGACGAACATCTCGAGGTACTCGTAGAGGGCCTCGCGGATGGCGCCGGGGGAAGTGGCGCCGGACAACTTGCCTGGGAACGTACACACACACACACGCACACAACACACATGCATCCATTGATCGATAGGCGCCACACAGACACGCTGGTATACGCGTACCTCTCAGGTCAGTCGAGTCGCCGGGCGTGTGCCCAGGCGTGTACCCATAGAACCCGCCTTGCGTGTTGTTGGTGCCGGTCAAACCTGATGAAAGGTCCATCCACATCAGGCAGGTTAGAAGCTTTGATTGCATTACCCCTTTTCCCTCTCTGTCTTGTGCCCACCTCCATGTGCCGCTAAGAAGTCGAATGGGCCCTGCATGCCCTGCACGCCCGTGTAGGCCGACGCCATGGGACCCAAAGCTGCAGGGAAACCAACGGAATGCGTGTGTGTGTCTGGTTTTTTGTGCGTTCTCCGTACGTAGCAGCACCCCCACCACTCGGCATCACTATCTCACCTGCGCCAAAAGAACAACAGTACACACACAATGCGTCACCTGCGCCATATGTGCCGCTCTC